AAAAATGGATTTAAAAAAAATCTGAAATTCAGACTATTCAGGAACAAAATGCCATAAGTTGCTTAGGAACAAATAAATTCTGAGCCCCCAATCTTAAGGATTAGAATTTAACAAGAGAAAGTGATAAAAACAAAAAACTAGGCCCATGGCTCACTTAGTGTGAAACTCACACAAAACGCTGTAATGTTGATCACTTTAGTGAAAAGATTCATTTAAAGGACAAAGGGGGAAAATTAAAAAAAAAAAAAAAAAACTCAACAGAGTAAAAGAAAGAATGTCTCCTTTGTCAAGGCTCCTGAAGACATGTTTAACTAGGGAGCTGAAGGTCATTGATCTGTCCCCAGGCAAGTATGGGCTTGAATTGAAAGTCTAAACCATAATTAAGTGTTCCATCCTGGACAGAAGTATACTCCTTGCCCAACACAGAGAAATAAGCAAGTTTATTCAAGAAGAAAAAGTTTCAGTCCTGCCTCTCAAAATCTGCATGTATGATAGCTGGGATTTCCCTCCATTGATACAGTGAGACCATGCCCTGTCTTCCATCCAAAGCAACACATAAAACACACAACTGGTTGTGATGCTGTAGATCTATAGTCATGTCACTAAGAATATAGAGGTAGGAGGGTCAGAAGTTCAAAGCCACCTTCAATGACATGGCCAAATTGAAGTAGCCTGGTCTACATGACATGACCCTTATTTTAAAAAAAGAATTCCCATAGATTATCTTCAGCCAAATATAAATTCATAATAAAAGCATTACTTTGTATGTGAAAGAGTCAATGAAATGAAAATGAAAAGACAGTAAAAACATATAAGATTTCAAGTACTGGATTAATCAGAGGCAAAATTTTAAGTAATTAGATAAGAAAGTTAACAAAATAACAGAAATTGGGCAGAGAATAAATGACTGTAAATGTAACCTAGTGCTTGTTTATGAGAGAGATTAACGAATTTTCTTCACAAATAATGTGTAAACCAAAAAATGCAGAAAACTGTAATGCATAAAATGCTATGTAACCAACCAGATGTCCCAGAGAGAACTAGAAATCAACTCTGTGGAAGTCAGAAACATACTGGGGTTCAGAGCACAGAGCTGCTTCTCAAATATGTGTGTACGTATACCCTGGGCATGTTTTTTATGGACCCACCTCAAGGACAGTATTTGGGTCTGAAGATGGCTCAGTCTTTAAGAGCCACACATCTCTTGCAGAAGACTCAAGGTCAGGTCCCCCCATCCATGTCAACAGAGTCACAACTATCTGTGAATCCAGCTCCAGAGCATCTTATGTTGTTTTCTGGTCTCCACAGAAGAAATTGCATGCACGTACGCACGCGCGCGCGCACGCACGCACGCACGCACACACACACACACACACACACACACACACACACACACACACTAAATACAAAGAGATTACAAGAAAGATGGAAATTAAAGGCAATAGGGATAATTTATCTGCCCATTTGTTACTCTTGGAAGTTCTGGGGTCAACTATACCAACATTCCAGCAAACCTCTTCTGGACTCTGACCTCAGAACTTTCTCTGCCATTGGACTGGAATTGCCACTGTGGCTGCAACTAAAGCAGATGTCACTACCACTGTGGTGTTCCCCCAGGCAAACTGGGCTAAAGGACTCTGACCAGGAAATCTGTTGGGGAAGATGATCTTCAGGTGTGTGACTTCTGTTTATGCTGCACTTGTTTAACTCCGTGAAGCTGGGATTCTCTGCCTGTCTAAAACACCTGATGGTCTAAATAAAGAGCTGAACAGCCAATAGGGAGGCAGGAGCAAGGATGGGTGGGGCTGGCGGGCAGGATAAATAGGAGAATGGAGGAAGCAGGAACAAGGAGAGGCGGATGCTAGGTACCAGGCACTCAGCAACCCAGCCAGCCACGGAGTAAGATCAGAGAAGTAAGAAAAGGAAAAAGCCCAGAGGCAAAAGGTAGTCTGGATAATTAGTTAAGAAAAGCTGGCAAGAAACAAGCCAAGGTAAGGTCAGGGCATTATAAGAAAGAATGAGATGCTGTGAGTAATTTATTTGGGAGCTGGGTGGTGCCGTTCCCCCCCCCAAAAAAAAGTCCAAAAAAGAGTAAAAACGTCACACAACAGAAATCCTCAAAAGGCATAGCTTGTAGGGACTTAAAAAGAGGGGTCCCCAGGGCCTCCTACCAAGGCTATCAACAGCACCCTAACAGAAAAAGGGGAGCTCTGGGAGCTAATCACACAGCCACCAGCTGCTCCGGCCCCTCGGAGAACTCAGTAACTGCAGCTGGATGGTTTGCCTCAGCATCCAGTCAGGACCAGGAAGAAGGAAACAGCAGCGATTGGCCAAGAGAGGAGATCCACTGTTGTGTGATGTTTTCCTCTTTGGGTTTGCAGCGGTGGCCCACGCCTTTAATCCCAGCACCCGGGAGGCGGAGGCAGGCGGATCTCTGTGCGTTCCGGGCCAGCGTGGTTTACATAGCGGGTTTCAGGACAGGCTCCAAAGCTACAGAGAGAAACCCTGTCTCCAAACGACAAAAATCAATCAATCAATCAATCAATCATCTCCCTCAAGTATGTGTTATTTTGTTAGAACAACTGGAACAGACAACATCTCATATACAGTGTGGTGGTTTGAGTAAGAATGGTCTGCATAGGCTCATATATTTCCACGCTTGGTACCGAGAGAGTGGCACTGTTTGAGAAGGATTAGGAGGTGTGGCCTGGTTTCGCAGGTCTGGCCCCGTTGAAGGAAATGCATCACTGGGGTGGGCTCTGAGGTTTCCACTGGCTAAGGCAGTCCCAGTGTCTGTCTCTTCCTGCTGCCTGAGTATCTGGGTGTGGGACTCTCAGCTCCTTCTCCACAACCATGTCTGCCTGCACGCTGCCATGCTCCCCACTGTGATGATAAGGGACAACTGTAAGCCATTCCCAATTAAAAGCTTTCCTTTATAAGAGCTGCCGTGGTCATGGTGTCTCTTCGCGGCAATAGAACACTGACTAGGACATACAGCGAAAGAGTCATAAGGTGGGAAGCGCTCTGAATAAAACAGTCGCAGTAGCAGTCACAGAGGGTCAGGGACAAGAGCATGACGCTAACTTCGGGTAGAACCCTGAGTGAGGACAGAAAGTGACTCCTGGAATATCCAAGGTAAGAACGCTCACCCAAATTCACTCTGTGACTCGTGGAGAACTCAGGCCAAAGCATCTAAGTGTGAAACAATGAAAAGCAGAAAGGCAGACCTGACATCTTTGTAAAGAAAAAGAGTCACCTTCCTGTTATGGCAGGATAAGTCACAGGACCTGAAAATCACATAGACACAAACACTCACTTGTGTGGATCTATGCCAGGGGAAAATACGAATTCTTACCACATGAGTTATATACACAGATAAGAGCTGAAGCTACCAACAAGCTTTCAACACAAGAGAAATGAACCCCCAGGTCACAAAGGGACAGAAAGCAAGTTTTCTTCCCAGTTCTGCCCATCTGCAAAAGTGAAAATGTATTGGCAGAATATCTGGATAGCTAAGCACGAAACAATGACAGGAAGTCTCGGCCTCTATCCCAACCCTGAGACAGAATAAGCTCTTCCTATACAGACAAAGCAGGAGTCCTCCCTTCAACTCTCCAAAATCAGTCTGAATAGATCAGATGAAGTTAGGAATACTTAAGTATAATTTATTTGACATGAAGTAGCCTTTAGTTACATAAAATACACATTTAAAGTATATACAGCAATTTAAGAATCCTATTTTATGCTTAGGAAGGTAGAGAGTATTTCAATACACTTATATCTAGATGCAGCAAGTTATTTCAAGGTTCAGTTTGTACACACTTTGTCAATAACATTAAAAATTAAAGGGGACTGTTGAAATGTGGGCCCTTTTGCCTTTCTTGAGCAATGGCATGATTATTTACTGGAGATTTTGAAAAACATTGGCAAAAATATCATAAAAATGAGTTCGTCCAGTGGGTTCTGAAGTTGTTTTCTCTATGACTATTTCATTCTCTTTCAGATCATCAGTTGTGTATATTTTTTATCTCTGATAAATTTGTAGTTAACTTAAATCTATGAAAATTGGTAAAAGTGAGCAGAAACTACAATTCTGGCGAATTGGGGCTGCAAAAATGAGTTGTCATGTTGCCCTTTAGTTTTTCTTGGCCTTCCCAGAACTGTGCCACAGACTTCAGAAGGGTGACAGCTGCTTCAGCTGATCACATCCCAACATCCCAGGGTTTGTGCAAGAGTTCTCAAGAGTGTGTGCTACAGGTTCCCAAACCAGGGATGCATTTTCATGTGTTTAAGTGACATTTAGGGCCTCTTTTCAGACTTTCAATGTCTCCTGATGCAGAGGACCTACCCTGTTCTGATGACGGTAGGAAGGACATTAATTATAATTTTCACTAGTCATGGGATCACTGCAGCCCTGGCCAGGCACGAAGACACTACTGTAACTGAACATTTTGCATTCCTGTCCCCCTTATCTAGTCCCATAGAAATGACTGATTTCTCACCATTTGAATCCCAATGAAAAGTGTAACAAAATCACCAATAAACATATTTAAATGTGTATGAATGAACTGAACGAATACAATTTCAAAATAAATATACCAGGTACAGGAAAAGATTACCTAGAAATTTTACTATCTGAGCTTTATAAATAAAAGATATTAGATTTTTAAAAAATGGTAATTGAATATGGGCTTTCAACATCGGGAAGCCATCTATTGCTCAGCATCACACACAGCTGCTGCATCGAACTTCTTGCTTGCCTCCTCTCCATGTAAATAAAGGATGGGGACTTAAGAAAAAGCCTATAGTTCCCTAACAGCTCTGAATGTGGCTAAAAGGAGGGCACTTAGCAACAGAGGGGAAATGACGAGAAGGAAATAGTTTTGTGTCTGGGAGCCATGTGGAATTCCAAGATAAGAAAAACAGTTGCTAATTCGAGTATAAAAGCAGGAAACACGATACACTTGCTTCCTTCTGTGTAAACACAGTATATGTGGGGTTTCGTGAAAATTATTTTTCTCTCGCGGAACCACAAAGGCATAGAACCAAACTGCTTGTTTTGGACACGCTGGCTTCTCCTTTTTCTTGTGGATATTATGGCTAATAACACAACGAGTTTAGGGAGCCCATGGCCAGAAAACTTTTGGGGTAAGCTACCTTTCCTTCACTGTTTTTAATTTAAACTAATATGCACCGAAATACTGTGCATAATTTATTACAACACTGGAAATCTCTGAATTGCTTGCCATAACTATATCGTGTCAGATTTCTTAGATTTATTTCAAAAAAATATACTCATAAAAATGTTGTCAGAGTAAGCTACAGAAATATTAAAGAAGGATCAGACATAGAAAGTTTGGTTGGTATTAACAAAACTTAATTGGAAACGAAATTTTTAAATGTGGAAATTTAGAAAAAGAAATATAAAGTAGAAGTCTTTGTTAAACAGAATATAACACAGGAGTTTTTGTTGGAAAATTATATTTTATTTGTCTGAAGGTGATGGATTTCATATTTTATTTCATGAAACCAAGGTGTTCTACAGAGGGTTTTAAAGTCTGTGTTTTTGTCTATGCTATTGTTTTTAATTTTCAAAGTCAACTTAAACAGCAAGCCTATGCTTAAATGAACTTTGAGTATGGTGACAAAGATAAAATGTGGAATTAAAAATGAAATTATGAATCTAGAAAGGACAAAGCATAAATAACTTACATTATTACAATGGAAGCTTGTACAAAAGGAAGAGAAACAATACCAACGTGTGCTTTGGCAGAGGCTAACAGCAACCCAAGATCTAGTGTTCAGAGATGGTAAGAGCAGGAAGGTGCTGAGGTCAAAGCCAACACCCACTCCAGGCCAGATTTAGGATACAGGAGCTGGGATATGCAATGACATTGACATGTCTTTGTGGTCCCAAGAAATTCAAAAGTAAAGGGAATAATTTAAGTTAAATCCCGAAGGAGCTTTGAAGGAACTCTGGAGTTTATTGACGGCTCTATAACCCTATTATGTGCAAGGTGAGTTTTTGATCATCTCACAAAACTGTGTCGGACTTCCTGCTGTGATTGGAGATGGGGCTTTGGAAACGATTTGGTAAATACTGAGCAGGGACCACCACCTGACCCTGACAATCTAACTTACTCATCTGTTATCACAGGTACTGGCATGAAGGGGATTAAGTAATTGATTGTTTTTATTAATTAGTGTACTCCATTCAGGCTTTAAGAGATTTGTTGGTGCTATAGTAATAAAATTGCATGACAAAATTTGTGAAAAACAAGTTATTCCTACAAATTCTAGGTTGACATCCAGAGGCAAGAAACCTTTGAATTCTGGATGGCCTAGTGGTACATTAGTGAAAATTATCATTTATATTAAATGGTAGAAAAAATAGCTAGAGCACATCTAAGTAAATTCACTATCACAAAACAATTGTAAACTATTCCAAAGTAAGTAACTCCAAGTGCAAAAATTTAAGACAGAAAAGCCAGCTCTGGTTTTTTTGTTTTTTTGTTTTTTTTTTTTTTTCCGAACTATTCAAGTTAATGTCCACATTTATCTAGGAAAAAGAGGTCATTGTTCATTGACTGGAGCACAGATGGTTTTCATTAAGATAGATCTTAATTAATGAGATGCCCATTTGGAGTTCAATGCTTTATCCTAGCATTTAGATATCTTAATAAGGAAATCTGTGCTTAACAGCAAATTCAGGATACCTATGTCAAAGGCAGGTATTGATGCCGCCTCCTTTTGGCATGCAGATATGGTGGAAGATGAAAGAACATGGTGAAAACCATCAAAACCAAAACAAAAATGGTGAACCAAAAATATCTTTGATGCTTTGGGTAGGAAAAAAAGTGGAAGATTGCATTATTATTTCCGGGGTAAAATTATGAAAAATAAAATGTAATTATAAATTTAATATATGGGATGGGATATAAATATTCCCCGACATATAAATGTCAATCTTTTCTATTTTTATTTCTGTCTTGCATCTAAATTAATATCTATTTTGATCACTGGTCCTCTCAAAATATTAATTTGAAAATGATGCCCAATGCAGTGGAGGACAGCGCCTGCCTTCAAACAGACTCTATTGTATAGCCCTTTGAATTAAGAGAATGAATAAAAAATGGCATAGACTATAACTACTCACACAAGGAACCACAGAAACTTCTTCTTAAACTTAAGATAATGAGAGGAATAAAAACTCAAAACCTTTCTGGTTTGCTTAAGGAATGCAAAAAAAAAAAAAAAAAAAAGCAATGCTATTCAGTTGCTACGAACAATGACAGCTTGCATTTTGTTTTTTCTCAAAGCTGTCACTGGGTCAAACCTACTAAAAGCTGTACAAGCACTAAAGCCATCGAAGCTAGCTGCTAGCAAAAAGTGTCCTGAGAGTGACAACAAGGATGAGTCCCCATTGCATCCCAACTCTACTCTATTTAGTGCGAGTCCCTGCTCTGTAAACCATCCCATAAAGGCAGCAGGGACCCGAGGTCTGTCTATACATATATATAGACTCAGAGCCTATGGGGCTGACAGTGTTGTGGAACTCATGTGAGCTCTCAGTACTTGGGACTGCACACGTGACACGCGTGTTTCCCTCTGCTGTCTTCTCATGTGCTGTTGCTGACTTCCCATGTGTTTGGCTGGCACTGTGAAAAACTGAGCCAGAGTATTAGTACATGGGCTTCCACTTGCCCATCTAATCAACCCTCCCCCCAAATACGATTTCGCTTTTAAAAGGATTGCATTCTGGGAGGTGGTTAGGTGTCCCTGCATATGCAAACAGAAGACTATAAATCAATCAATAAATAGTATCAATAGCGTCTGTTTTGTCATGGATTATTGATATTTTTAACAAAATGACCAAGCACGAGAATATGCTGTAGAAGTTAAAATATGAAATGGTCCCTGAATAATTTTCAGAAAAAAGGGAGGATATTACCTATTCCTAGAATATCAAAGAAGTTCCAAATAACAAGAAAATTCTAAGGAAAACATCCTGGCCACTCATCTCTGACATGTTAACTCAGCCTCCTCCAGTTCATTCATTCCCTCTGAAGCTTTGGCTGACCTTATTAGGCAACATATCAAGATGATACAGATAAGATGCTGTCTGAGAATTTTTGGGCACCGGGGAGAACTGTCATCAGCAAATGTGTGGAGTAAAAACACTAGGGTATGGTGGACCAGAACATCTGTATGTGGAGATTACGGGGACAGAATAGGAGATCAGGATGGAGACAGATGTCTTTAAGATTCTGGTAGCAATGCAGATATTGGAGTTACTGTGACAGACTCAAAGGCTCTTCTCCCCCACATCTTTGGGTCTCTCCCTAAGGTTGGAAATAGCCTGTGATGGCTGAGGACGATGGTGACTTCAGGTACAAGAGGGAGTGGACCAGGAGTCCTTAATCAAGGTCCTCTGCTGACATCTACTGAGAAGTGTGCCTCATCTGCTCTGGGGATGTTTCTCTCCCTGTCTTCACTGTTGGAGCCCTTAACTGCAAAGCCAGGTTCTTGTGATCTGTGCACTTCTGACTACGGACATATTTTTTTTTCTCTTGTGCGACTCTGGTCAGTCTACTGACTCTCATTCCGTTACTTTCCTGTCTGTCTCAATGCACAGAACCACATTATCATTCTGTAACCCTGGAACTACGGGAGCCTGACTCTTGTTCCACCCTTCCGACACCCGGTGCTTCTCATGAGGGCCTGTGAGCCTCTCTACATCTATCAACCAGGAATCTAGGACTGGGTACCACCTACTGAGACAGGGTAAAGGCTGGAAGGACTGAAGGATGCCCTCGTTCCTCAGAGCCCCCACTGCTCCTTTACCGTAAAGCCTCTCTCTCCCCTTAACTTCTCTTTCCACTGTTCATGAAAAACACATGCAGGTGATACATTCTCTTTCCTGCTACTGTTTATGGCAAACACTTATATTGTTGAGTTCTTTAGGCTTCTAGTGTTTTGAAGTTGAATCGGAAAAATGAACCACAAACACCGTCTTGGTTATAAAACACCTCATTATTACAGTGCAATGCTGGCTTTCAAAATGATGTTCTAGCCTTTGCATTTAAAGATTCATCTGGCAGCTTAGCAGCAGAGGAGACCCTACTGCTGTGCACCCTCGCTTATTGGCTCACCGGGCTCTGAGGTAGCTGAGAGTTACAAACTGATTTGCTGGGGAGACAGGGCTGTCAAGGGGTGGGATCCTTAGCTAAGATTCCTCAGCCCACAAAAAATGTTATACCTCAACCTATAGCAAACGATGTACCCTAGCCTGAAGAAAAGATGTGGCCTTTAGGGGTCTAGCAAGCAGATGAGATAAGATGTTTGCAAGGCACTAGGATGGTGGTGGTGCACACAGGGGGTTCATGGTCTCCGCATTGTCCTCTCAAAACAGCAAGCAAACATTGTCCATTTCTCAAGCTCATTCATTCGGCTATGCATTGTTACAAATGAACAGCCTAGCGATTATTTCTGGGTGTCCCGAGGAAGATTCATGAGATTGTGTCTCTCACTGGGCTCCATGGAGCTGAGGTTATTACGGAAGTGGAGCTCACAGAGCTGTGTGTACTTCATGCATCCCTGCTCTCCAGACTTCTGCACTGAAATCATGAGAATTGTCTGTTTTTGTTAAAATGAAATTAGATTTGGGTATCAACATCATGCAAGCCTCGTGAAACAAATCAGAAGTGTTCATTAATTTTGGACTGTCTGGAAGCTCTTATGTAAAACTGGTTTGGGTGGTTATTTATTATCTAAAATATTCACCATTGGTGGCATTACATTAAGCTGGGAGTTTAAAATAACACTTTCATTTAAAATTTTTTGAGTGTGTATGTGTGGGAGCATGTGTGTGAATGTCTGTGTGTGTGTATCCGTGTGTGTCTGTGTAGTGTGTAGGTAGGTGTCCACATAAGTGAAGGTGCTCCTGACAGCCAGAGGTGTTGGATTTCCCCAGAGCTGGAGTTTACAGGTGGCTATGAGCTGGCCAATGTGGGTGCTGGAAACCAAACCTAGGACATGTGCAAGAACAGTGAACCACTGAGCTATACCTCCAGCCCACATTCTTTTTGTAAGACATTAAAGGGTCACACAGATTTCCTAACTCTCTTCTTAGTTATGACAGCTTGTGCTTTCTAAGAATTTGCACTTGGATTATATTTTCAAACATATACAGCATAGGTGATTTATACTATGTTGGCATGTCTTCCCAACTCTTTATCATTATGAAAATGTTCACTGGACAAAAACGTTGAAGAACTCTACAGTGAAGACTCATCCATTCTGTGTCGCGCTTACTTCAGTTTCTATAATGCTTTCCAGATTCATCTATATGGTTTCAAATTTCAGCATTTCCTTTCTTTGTTCTTTTTAGGTTCAGTAACACTATTCCATTGTCACACAGCATTCATACATATTGCCATGCTGCTAAATGACATGGACTAGATTTGAGAATTGCATTGTTTGGAATTTTTGTCGTGCAAATGCTACAGACTACACACACACAAACTAAGGTGACTTCGACAGTGTTTGGTGACAGGGTCTTTTGAAACCATTGTCATAAAGGTGACCCACCACTCACCAAACCATCACTATGTCACTCAGGGCTCTGCAGTGGACATTCTGCTGATGGACATTCGAGTTGATGTCATGTCCTGGGAATTGTGATCAAGTACAGCTCCATAAAACCACACTCAAATCTTCCAAGCCTGTATTTGTCTACCACCCTATGTAAGACAGCAGTGCTAATACTATTGCTTTTATTCATTCTGTCTTACCATTGCAGACATAAGTCAGCCGCCTACCTTTCAAATCTGAGGGCAGTTATAACTTGTAATGCACAGACATCTCATTTACTATTTTTTCCGGACTCTGAATTGAACCCACTTCCTATAATGGGGAGGGAGATAAAAGCAGTGTAAGATGTGGGCCAGGATGTAATTTTGGAATGGGGATTCCTTGACAAGAAAGTTGGGTAATGCCTAAAGAAAAAGGAGGGGGGACAAACGGCATAGAAAAGATAACCACATAGATGATTATAAACATTATTTTTGAAAGAGCAGATTAGATGATCAGAAGCATGTCTGGTGAAGAACAAGAGAGAGGTTCACGTGATGAGCTCAGGTCACAGGGCCAGTAGCTCTCAGGTGGGAGACTTCATACCATATTTAGGAGTTTGCTTTTCCTGGGGGGTGGGGCTCTGGACACATGTGATATGACTGGACTTACTGTGTGGCTGAAGAGAAAGGGCGGCTGGATACAAATGGATGGTGATGCTAAGGCAAGAAGCAGAAAGCATGAAGCCCAGCTGGAGAAGCTGGGATCTATCTCCCACTGCATGTAATGAGGCTGGAAAAGCAGCAGCATGGAAGGGGGAGGCTGAACCCTGTTCTATTGTTGAACCCAAGGGAATTGCCCAGAGGATGTGATAAGCGTAGAAACCATTTATGCTTTGCATTCTTAGCTAATTGTAATCATCCACATCTCTTTGTACTAACCCCCTTAAGTAGTTCCCCCCAAAGTCCTTTCACAGAAGCCTTCCTATCACCAAAATCACCCTGTCTACACTTTAGGAAGTGGAGAAAGGATGATCTATTTGCGGATGACGTGAACCTATGAGTCCTTCAACTTTAGGGCTATGTCCCATTTTATCACAGGAAAATCACGGCCGGATGTTGTAACAATTCAGCACTGGCCCACTAGATGGTGACCTCTACTAAATGTTCACACCACTTACAGCGTTTGGGTTGTGATTATGCTCTCTCAGATCTATGGTCAACTTTAAGATCGTTGAGTTGGAAGGCACAGTGGTGGTGGCCGTGGGGAGCAGAATTTCTGAAACTTCTTTATATTCAGAATTTTAGATTTGGAGGCCTTGATAAGTTAAGTTTGAATCATGTTACAGAAAAGGAAGATGAATTTTTAGGTTCAATTATGTTTATTTGATTGTACTTATATATTTTTTAGCATTTATTTAGTTAGTTTCTGCATTCTAGATTTTCTATATGCTACAGCAATAAGCTTGAAAAAGGCTTGGCAATTATAAAAACCTAGCTTTCATCCACCTTAAAAAATCGGTGTGGTTAAACAAACTCACCAACCAGGTAGCCGTGGCACACGCCTTTAATCCCAGCTCTTGGGAGGCAGAGGCAGGGGAATCTCTGTGAGTTCCAGGCCAGCCTGGTCTACAAGGCAAGTTCCAGGAAAGCCAAGGTGGTTGGTCACACAGAGAAACCCGAGAAACAAAACAAAAATAAAAAAACAATAAAAACAAACTCACTAATATTTATTCAATAGGGCTGGATCTGCAATTGGGTGAACTTATCATCAATGGGCATTAGCTAGTCAACAACCATCTCAAAACAGAGTTTTGTAAAGAGAATAATCAAGTAATTAGCTCATGGTTTGGGGCTGACAATTCAGCATGGGGTCAACAAGGTGGATTTTCTGCTGGCCTTTGGTTTGCCCACAGTCACACGGGGTTTTGCCAGTACTAGAATAACCTAGAGCAACTCATTCCATTGTCTTGTCAAGGACAGCAGGCTCCTGAACAGAAAGGTTCTTGGAGTTTAGACCCAAACTTACAGAGCTTCTTTGCATCTCATTGGTCAAGTAAGTCCCACTGAGAGCTCTTAGGGTAGGGGAATAGTGTCTACCTGCTGACGGCATTACAAAGAACCCGTTCCTGTGACCCCCGTATTAAAACCTTCACAAGCATATTTCCAGTATCTAGCTCTTTGCCTGCAGAATCCTTGTATAGGCAATTTAATATATACCTTGCCTTTCTACTTAACAGTAACTCATTTCTGTACAAGAAAGACAGTACTTGGAATAGCTCTATAAGAATGAGTTCCCCAGACACAGAGATTTATATCTGTTTATAAGGAAAATTATACTTGAATGCTTGGAGGGTTGGAAAGAATCATAGGCTCTGAGACAGAACGCAACAGCACAGTTTGAGGATGGCTCATGGAATGGAGGATGAGGAAGGCTCTGAGCAGCAAGCTGGAGGGGGCTTCAGATATCTAGAGGTCTTCCATGAAGAGTAAGGGCTCAGCCTCTCCCATAAACTCATTACGAATACGCTTTCCCAAGGAGCAGCCCCGTAGCACCTCCATTGAGGGAAGGGGGAAGTGCGTACGTATGTACTTGCCTGTGGAGAAAATCAGAGCAAATCCAAGCTGGCTGAACTGGAGGACACTGGTGTGCTATGGCAAGTTTGTGGAGATTCCGGAGTGGTGTTTCATTAACACAACCCAGACATGAGAGAAGTATGGGCTGGAAGCGGAGGGACCAGAAAGAGCACAGGGGTCAATGTCATTGTGGAGCCAGGGGTCTGAGAGTCTAGGTGTTTAGGAAATATGGCATAAATCAGTCAGCCCTGCAGATGGTTCTGTCCCTGCACTTCCTACCCCTGACAGAGTGCAGGAAGCGAGGTGCCATCCAGACTGCAGGTGACACAGAGTAAAGCAGGCAGCCGGGAAGCACACTTAACATTGGGGTGACCTTCTTTATCAAGGGACACATTAGCTCCAATTATAATTCAAAAGGAAGTGAGCGGTGGACATTTGCCATTCTGTAAGAAAAACCGCTAAGTTAAAGTCGATCTTCAATGAGGCTCTAATTTCTAAAGATGATACAGGAACAGGAGTGAATGCTTTTCATAGCTTTTTGTTTGAGCAAGGGGAGTCCTGCTCGTTCTCGATTTCCCCAATCCAAAGTACGTTAAAATACAGAGTCCATTCTGAGAATTACAGTTCCTCCTCCGCCCCGTGGTTTTAAATGAACTGTCATTGAAATTGGAGCCACTGGTTTATGGACTGTTTTTTTTCTTTCAGAGGATCTTATAATGTCCTTCACCGTCTCCGTGGCGATTGGGCTTGCAATTGGAGGATTTCTCTGGGCGCTGTTCGTCTTCCTGTCTCGAAGAAGAAGAGCCAGCGCACCCATCTCACAGTGGAGTCCCACCAGGCGACCCAGGTCTTCCTACAACCATGGCCTCAACAGGACTGGGTTCTACCGCCACAGTGGCTGTGAGCGTCGGAGCAACCTCAGCCTGGCCAGTCTCACTTTCCAGAGACAGGCTTCCCTGGAGCTGGCCAATTCCTTCCCCAGGAAATCCAGCTTCAGGGCTTCAACTTTCCATCCCTTCCTGCAATGCCCACCGCTTCCGGTGGAAACTGAGAGTCAGCTGATGACTCTGCCTGCCTCCAGCACCCCATCCGCCATGGGCACCATGCACGCTGCAAGCCGGCCCGACTTCCGCTGGTCCAGCAACAGTTTGAGGATGGGCCTTTCCACACCGCCACCCCCTGCCTATGAGTCCATCATCAAGACATTTCCCGATTCCTGAGTCTGTCTGGGCCTTCTTTGTTTTTAATTCTTATAAAAAAAAATTGGTTCTCTTTTAGAAAGGAAATGATATGTAGAGTAAACAGAATTTTGGGGTCATGAACCCCAGTGATTGATTTTTCAAGTTAATAGGTGCCTGCTGCCAAGGAAGGCAGAGTTTCTTTTGAACACATTTTTCCTCACACATGTCTCACTAAAGCATTATTTTCTCAAAAAGTTCTAAACTTATGGGTTTTGAATTCAGTGTGAGGCATTGAATTAAAGATACCAGCTAAAGTTTCTTACATACAAATCACGTGTATTTGTATGTTTTCAGTTAAAAAAGACTTCAGATGTTTGTTGTTAGGGTTGCGATCCCCATTCACTTTCCACATGACTGCTGACAGGCAAAAAAAAAAAAAAAAAAAAAAAAAAATCACCGAAACCGAGGAATTTTAATGTTACTTTCTGGGTGAGGAGTGAGTCGTAGCATCCTAGGATCTCAGAGCTTTAATGAGTGAGGTGTGTGTACAAGATGACAGGACAGTGACATTCTAAAATCCCGTGATTCCACTCAGTTATGTGAGAACCAAGCAAAACAGCTAAGCTTGGCTGGTGTCATAGGATGATTCAGTTTTGACACTAGCTTGTTTTTTCCTCAGACTCATTGTGTAGTTCTTCCCAGTATAATTACCCATCTCATTGAAGTCAAATCCTTGCATTTAGTAACATGAGAATTGAACATGACTGTTGTAGTTATTACCAAAGCAACAGCTTCTCCGATTCATTTGTCCTAAGTACACGTTTTTATTTTACATCAAGTTACATTTTTCTTTTTTGGATTTGGATCCAAGGACTAGGAAAGCACTTTATCTAGGGTAGTGTTTCTCAACCTGTAGGTCAAGACCCCTTTGGGGGAACTAATGGCCTTTCAGAGATGTTGCCTAAGACCATCCGAAAATACAGATATTTACATTTTAATTTATACCAGTAGCAAAATTATAGTTATGAAGTAGCAACGAAAATAGTTTTATGGCTGGAGGTCATCATAACTGAGGAATTGTATTAAAGGGTCCCACCATTAGGAAGGTTGAGAACCACAGCTCTAGGAGGAACTTCATATCAACCCCCCAGGTTCTGTTCCCTGGGGTGATGCTCTGTGAATTCCATCACCTCCTCCTTTAAAGTCTTTCCAAGGTGACTAATGTAGATTATAAGGCCATTGTTTCAAATGGTCACCTGGGGAGTCCACATCTGCAGGTGAGGTATTTTTAATGTGGGCACCAGAAACTTTCAGTGATCCTTTGGCTCCAAGGACAGTTCACTGGGGGAATTATTCAAATATTTAGCTTGTGTTGTTTATTCTTCTGTAGATTGGATTTTCAGTGGTACCCACTGGGGTCCCAGCTAGTGATATCTGATCATAGCTCAAGAATAAAACTATTAGCATAAAAGATCCCCTAGAGAATACTTTTATTAGTTTCAGAGGATTTGTGCTATCCATTGTTCCTCATGAGATATTATTCTTCAAAATGCCTACCAAGATATCTTGTAATTAAATATGCAAGAGAAGAAGGAAGGAAAAAAAATAAAGCAAAACAAGAAGCTAAGATGTATTGGCCGCTGACTTTTTTTTTTTTTTTTTTTAAGGAAATGTAGAGGCTGTTACATAGCCCCAGTAAGATTTTGTAAGATCATAAGCTTAGCGACAAGGCTAATTTTAGATTGCATGCCATCCCCAGCGTTTAACATAAGGAGCAAAGAAGGAATGCTTCCTATCAATCATGTGTCCTGGGGAGGAAAACTGTCCCAGTCTCCCAAAGGAAGGAAATGAGAGTAGAAGCCCTCTGGATCTTTGGCTAATTGGCAGAGCTCTTGCCAATTCAGCCCCTGTTATAAATGACCAAGGGGTGTATTTTGTAGATATTGTGCATTGTATGAAATGTGAAATTAAAACCAAAGCTGGAAGAGCTTTTAGTTGTAATTGTTTTATTTGAAATGTTTTGTCAATTTTGAAATAAAACTGGTAATCAACTCCAATTCACAGTTGATTTCTTGACTAATAAAAATCACCTTCTACAAAGAAGCAAGGGATTTGTAAAAATAAATGAAAAACAGAAAAAAATGCATAATTTGTGAGACAGAGCCTCACTATAATAGTTTGCCCAGAACTTGCTACATGGAGCAGGCTAGCCAGTAACTCTCGGGGAATTGCTTGCCTCTCCCTCCTGTGTAGTAGAATTAAAGTCTTGCACTACCATGCTTGTCTTAAAAAGATATAATGAAGAAATAATGTGGAGTTTAAGAATTATTAATTGCCCTTGATATGGAGGCACATGCCTGTAATTACAGAACTCAAAATCTTGAGGAAGGAGATTCCATCATGACATTGAATCTAGCCTGTATTATACAACAAGACCTAAACTTTAAAAGCACAATAACTGTTATTAAATCAAAACATCTGTGTAGGCCACATGCATGCACCAAGTTCTTTTCCCCACAAAAACATGTGGCAGAGACAAGATAATGGATAATTTAAAAAAATTGTATTTACTACAGAAGTTAATGTTTTGTCTACTAACTTAGTTACTATTATATATGTGGAAATATATGTGGAAAAGAAAGCCCCCCTCATGTTTCTGGTGACCAGGTACACCAGAGCTGCCTTTTAGAAGAATCTACTGAAATATACCAAGAGCCTTGAATAGTTGGTGTTATAGTGTGTGTCTACAGTCTTAGTTCTTGGAAAGTAGAGTTAGGAGGAACAGAGGTCATTATCAGCTATAAAGTAAGTTTAAGATCAGGCTAAGCTATAGAAAAGCCTATCTCAAAATTAAGTTAAGTAGAATAAGATCCCTATGTTGACCTCATGATATCTATAAGACACATAATTTTCTATAAGAGAAATTCTGATTTATTTTTAGGTAGTCCAATCCTGATATAATAGCCATGTACAACTGAACCAGACCATTCTCTATAACATGGTAAACAAATAACCAAATTTACTGAGTTGTCCTTTGAGACAAGAAATGGTTAAGAGGAAAGGGAGAGACCCAGAGAATTGCCACCGTAGGTGACATGGAGGGGAAAATGATACTGGAAAGGCAGACTCATAGAGTAGAGAGACTACAGTGTCCTTTCAATAAGCCCCGTTCCTGAAGGTGACATTTAACCATTCTATGGCTCTATAACTTGAAAAAAGTTGACTCCCCAACTTGTTAAAATGGCAGGAAATGAAAAACACATTCTCAGGGTGTGCCCTAGGATAGCTCCTCCCTGACTCAGACAATTAGAACTCTGGGGCAGACATAACCCACACCTGGGAACACTTTCTTTGACTTGTTCTAAATGTCACTCAAGAGTAGGGGGCTGTACAGGGTGCCAATGCTCTCAGGATGAGACACCTGTGAGTCCCAGCCCCTGATTCTCTCCTTTCGCATCTACTGTGATTCTTCATCTTCTAAGCAAGGCTAACGAGGTGCTCTGGGGACATTGTGACTTTTCTAAATCCACCACTGTGGCAGAATCCCAGCGGATATCAGAACACATCTGCAGAGAGGGATTCATTTCCTTCATGGAATTCCATGGCAAGAGACCAGAAGAACAGAATGCAGCTGGCATGTGATTGTGCATTTCTCCAGTCAGGGTACAGAATTCTCATGGGCACTGACAGACGGGTGAGCAACTACAGTCATATTCTTCTCTTCCTGTTTAAAACCTCATAGAACAATCACTCACACGCTTCCGTGAATTTTGTGAAACATCTTTCCATACAAGGTAGTGCTATACACATAGAATTTTTCCAGGGGTCCATGTACCTTAGGTGTATTCCTGCATTGAGATAACATAGGGGAACACCCTCCATTTGTCAGGGCCATCTCTGTGTAGCTGTAATAAAGGCATTGGCATCTCTGAGACTTTCAGTTAGACGCTGTTTACTAAAGAGTTTTTGATATTGTAGGTGGTTCTTCTAAAGTGAATTCCACAGTCAAAAACATAGAAGAGGTAGGATTCAGATGATCTTTATTGGGTGAGTACAAAGCAGCCATGGGGAGCTCTTGCCTGTTGAGGCTGTTTGAAGATACACTGCAGACATGACTAATCACCTTCTAAAAAGTGTGACCAGGAAGACCCATGGCTGGAGGGTTAGGGTGGGTCACTACAGCCAAACTATTTTGTTGCCTGTAGTTTGTCCCCTACAGCCACTGAAAAATAACCTTAGAAACAGATATAGTTATGCACTCTGGGATTGCCAGAATGCTAGGGACATCATGATTCTAGAATATTTATTGAAAGAAAAAAAAACCCAACAAACTATTCTAGGAAATAGCCGGGCAGTGGGAGGGCTGAAACCTAAATTGATTTCCTGACTACAGTGGGGACAGGGGGAGCTGGAGTTGTCCACTCTTCATTAACAGAAGGCAAACATCTGGCCATAGCTAGATGTTCATTCAAAGATGAAGAACAAAGCGAGAGAGACAGCTTTGATGAAATACAGGACAGAGAGCTAATACTGTTGGCAGAAATAGCTCAGAAGATCAATGGGAAAGTCACTGGGAGAGAAAAGTTAGAAAATTCAATAGCAGGATTTAGCAAAATGTATCCTAAGTAGAAACACAGGAAAATGATATCCCCTCCAAATGTCAATAACTCTGAAAGTAAGGACAAACAACCCAAAACAACAAAGAAAATACATTCTACTGAAAATCCTCAACAAGGGTGGGAAGAGTAGCTCAATGGTTACAGCACTTGCCTGATACACTTGAAGACCTGGGTTCCAGTCAGTCCCACAAAAGCAGACACCGGCACTGCTAATACTAGGGAAATGGTGGCAGGAGGGTCAGAAGTTCAAAGTCACCTTCTGTTACATGGTAAGTTTTAAGTCAGAAGGGAATACACAGGACTCTGACATTTCTCTCTTTCGCTCCCCCTGTCCTCTCTCTCCTCTCTCTCTCTCCATCTCTCCTCCTCCCTTTCAAAAAAGGAATTTACAAAAAAAACTCAGACACATTAGAATTGTGATGATTTATAATAGACGGCTCTGAGATGCAGTATGTCATTGTTGAAAACGCCTCATGTACGTGTTTTAAAACAATCAGGAAAGTTAAGAGAATGGACCCTACTACCATCTGAAGCATACATGGACACAGACATACATTGTGAAAGCTACAATTGATTTACTATGATGCTTGAAACAAATACTTGTAAACATTGAACTATTTCATACTGTTCCTAGAAATTCACCATGGACTCCAATGGCAACCTCATTCTTCACGTTTCTCCCTCCCTGACCCCACCTCTCTCTCCCTCTGCTTCTCTCAATCTGTTATGTCATCTCTTCTTCTGCTTCATATGATGCAAGGAACAGTTTTTGGTCACACACTGATGTATAAGACAAGTCAGAAGT